GCCAGCATCCCCGAGCCCCTTCCCGCTGGCCCAGATGGAGCTCCTGGGCTTCCTGCAATGCCGCCTCTTCCTAATTAATTGCTCATCTAGTCCATCTCCCGCCTGGGCACAAGGAGAGCAGCCAAGTGCCCGTCCAGTGCCTGTTCACTGCGCACCGGAGCAGCGGTGGGACGTTCGCAGACCTTGGACACCCTGACACCACACTGCATCACCCCGCATCACCCTCCTTGCCCCATCTCCACACGCAGAATGGAGGGATTCTGCTGGCGCCGGTGGCTGGAGCAGGAGGCCGGGCGAGACGCGTGCTGCGGGACGCGCTCCCAGCGAGCAGGGCATGCGTGCCAGCGCCTGCTGCACGGCCTGGGTACAGGCTGCTTCGCTGCAGACAAATACGGTGACTATAGGACTGCTACAGGGCTGCCAGGACGAGCCTGCGCTCACTCCCGATGCCCCAGAGATGCTGCGGGAATCTCTGCTCCTGCCACACTCCGCTTGCCGCGCTGCAAAGCTGCTCTGCGCGCTTTAAACACGCCCAGCGCGCTCGGTAAATGAAATTGTTGGGATAATATTGAAATGTAATCCTCCCGGACGGCCTTGTCATCTCTCGAAGGGACCGCGGCGACTGCCTTCCCGCGTCTGCCGACAGGGACCTGGACGTTTTCCCTGCCACGTTGCTCCAGGGCCAGGCAGAGATTGCTTGGAGACCCCCCCGCTGTGCTCCCTGTCCCTGTTTCTGCACCGCTGTGCTCCACAGCGGGCCCTTTGCAAACTGCATTTCCGGCGTTTTGTGTTAGTTTTCATTGTCTGCTCAGATTTTCCATCACAAGAATGAATCCGGAGAAAAAGTTCAGCACTTTGCCACTGAAAGATAACTGAAATCACAGGCTGGGCTGCCCAAAGGCTCCGTAACACAATTAGGCGCTGCCCAATGGGAAACTCTCAGGGGTGCAAGGACTCCGCCGCAGCCTCCGCTTTAACTGACACACACAAACGTTCTGTTTACGGGTGCACTTTTGCAAGCAAATTGTACAATTTATGAGGGTGCCAAGGGGAAGAATGCACGGCCACTTTTGCAAACATAGTGATGCGTGTCTGAAAGCAAACAGGGGTGTGTTAGAGGAGCTGAGAACAGGCGCCCGGGGTGGGTTTCTGCAGGGATGTCTCCATGCAGCCCAGGAAGGCACCGCTCTGCGATGCCCTGCGGGTCTCTAGGAGGGAGGTTCTGCCCCCAGACTCCCCCTCGGAGGCCAAGACTCCGCGGTTTGCCCTGTGCTGGGGCTCAGCCGGGGCCGCTCCAGCCCCGGCACTCACCATGGTCTGGAAGCAGGAGTGCAGCTGCGTCAGGAACGGCGGCTTCCCCGAGAGGGCCAGGACCCGCTTCTCCACCATCGTGCACTCCACGTCGTCATCCTGGATCACCACGTCCTTCTTGAGGATCTTCACGGCGTAGAGCTCGTCCGTGCCCTTGCGCTCGGCGAGCATCACCTGCCAGGGAGGAGAGCACAGGCGTGCGGGGACCGCGCTCCGCATGCAGAGCAAAGCACTCATGGATTTATTGGTGGCTCCCGTCACAGCCTGGAGACTCGAGCTCAGGGCAGGCAATGCAGAGCGCTCTTCCAGGGGCATCTGGGACCTGCTCTCCAGGAGAATCTGGGACCTGCTCTCCAGCTCCCCGGGCTGGCACATCCCGCTCACCTGCTCACAGAGCCAGGCTCCCCTCCGAGCAAGCACGGGGCAATGGGGCCGGGGAGGAAGCAGCACCTTGGACACAGCGTGCACCAAACCGTGAAGCGATAACTCCTCAACGAGGAGCAGGGTCAGTGCATGGCCAAAGTGGGCCAGAGCCAGCAGGATTCCTCCAGGATTTCCTACCCAGCACTGCAGCACAGCGGAGCTACCGCAGCCCGGCCGGTGCCCAGGCCGGCCCTTCACAGGGTGCTGCAGAACAGCAGCCCTGCGCTTCAACCTGCTCTTGCCCATGTGCAGATCTACTTGCTGCAGCGATGGGATGCACCGCTCCTGCGGGCAGCTCGCTCCCGTTAACCACATCAGCCTTGGTGTGGATTTCCCAGCCCTGCCAGCACAGCCCGTTCCCGCAGAACATTCCCGCCCCGCGACCGGCGGAGCTCGGAGCGCGCTCTGCCTCCTGTTCGCCCTGCGCTCCGCTCAAGCATGTGGGGGAAATAAACCGCTTTGTGTTTGAAAGAGCGTTGAAATCCTCTGGTCACGTCAGGAAAGGCAGTTAGGATGTTTTGAAAATAAATTACAGGGAATCAACATCAATAGGCTGGAGCTGAAATGAGTTTCAAGCTACAGCGGATTTGCAGAGAAAAGGCTAGCAGGTCCCGGCATCGCCTTCGGAAATGCAAAGGGAAATAAGATCAGTGCCACCGGGCCTGGTTTGTAAGCGATAAAAAGAGCTGGGCCTGGGCTCGTGCCAGCGGCTGGG